TGGTTCTTCTAATAAGATGCCAAATGGTAGGAGAACACAAGGAAGCTTGGATCAGCTGCGCCGGTCCCCGGCAGTCACTCTGGGGGAAGCGAGCTGCTTCTGAGAAGTTCGCACAAGTTTCTAAAGAGCTAGAGGAACACAGATCGAAGTCTGACCTCAAAGTCCCCACCCCGGACGAGAGGCTTGCGGTTTGCCACTGGAAAGTTAGATGCGCATTTACTATAGTGGGAACAGAAAAACCCATAGCTAGGTAGATGGTAACTTTAAATGACATAGTTCCTCTTCTTCCGGAGGTCACCTCTGGGGGGTGCGTCCTACATGGGAGTGTGACGGGTGGGGTGAGCTCTGCGAGGAGGCAGGCATGACAGAGCTCTGTTTCTTCAGCAAGTGAACAGCCTGCCCAAAAATGATGACTGAAAGCAACTGATGTCTCTTATTCCCAATTGTGGCTACTGAGGTAAAGTTGGTTTCCACACTGTGTCCGCTCCGGGGTCCTAGGTTCCAACCTCTACGAGCTGCCTGCCCAAGCCTGCCCCTGCCAGGGCCCCTCCCTTCCCCGAGGCCTCCCTCCTCCTCAGGCCCACCCTGCCCACTCCCCTCTGGTCGCTGCAGGCCTCAGCTTCGCAGTCAGATGTCAAGGGCTTGCTATTGGCTTGGTCTTGCCCGACCCCCTCTTCGTTTCTCTGCGTCCCGTATATAACTGACACCGCCCAGTCTTTGTCTTTCTCCTCCTGCCTGGCTTTGCTCAGCACTAAGCTCTCCAGGGGACAAACGGGTAAGTAGGTCCTGCAGGTGAGGGCTGTCCCATGGGCTGGGGGTCATCGGCGTCCCCTCCAGCACTCATAAGCCGAGTCCTAACCCCCAATCCCTCTGACTGGCACTATGCCTGGAAACGGGGTCACTGCAGATGCAGTTAATTCAGACGAGAGCTCACAGGCCTAGCATGAGCCAGAGTCTAGGGTCCTGCTTGTCCTTATTCAAACGACTCTTGGGCACAGAGGCATCAGGCTGCTAACGCTCACCCTCATGAGAGCCTGAGGTGTGGCGTGTGAGTGTGAACTCCCGCTTATGGCCCACACATGCTGGACTCGTGCACGCCTCCCGCCTGTCCACAAGGCGCATACAGCTGTCACCCTCTTTGTAAGGACAGACGCATGAGGTCACAGGCGACCCGCCTTGCTGCGTGCACTCAGCTGGCCTGTGCCGGCTAGCAGGGTGCCCGGGCAGGCTGAGAGCTGGTGCCCCCGCCCACTGCCACCCTGGCTCAGGGCCCTGGGAGGCACCAAAGACCTGCCACGACAGCCCAGGAGAGGGGCCGCACCTGCACGCACACTGTGGTCACTGAAGGGCAGCGAGGGCCAGCTGTAGAGGCCACGGAGGCCTTCCCACACCATGGAAGAAAGTGACTGTGGACCTACACCCGGGGTCTCGCGCGAGGTGAGGGCATGTGGTGTCCGGGGCTGCATGTCCTTGCTGGGCATGAGCGGGGGCACGGGAGGGGGCACCAGCCTCGGCGCCTTTGATGTACGGGGGTGCGGAGGGGCGGGCCGTGCGTCCAACCTCACAGACGCACTGCTTGGGACTTAGAGGACGACTCAAGGGCAGGACCAGCGTGCAGCTGAGATTTATCTTAAAAGGCGGCTTCGGGCTGAGCCTCCGGATGCAGGAAGCTAGACCAGACCCACTGGAGCAGCACGCGGAGGGCAGGCGGGCTTCTAGG